CCGTCAGCCAAGGCTGTACAACAGGCTTACAACAGAAGAAGATTGCTGAGCTCAGCGCGCCGAAGCCAAAGCTGCATGTAGCACACATGAGCAGCAACTCTGATGGCCTGAAACTCCTACGTGGTGGTGGGCTGCTGGTAGCTGAGGAGTCCGACAGCAAGCGCCTTGCCACTCTTTGTGAAAAAGGAGTCAAGTGATCTCCAAAACAGTAAATAAAATACTGCATGCCAGCAACAAATCACAGCAGCATCTGTGCATATGCCATGACAAGGTTACCAGGCCAGCACAAAATCAAATGAGCAAATAAGAACCCTCGAGCCACAAGTAAAAGGTGCAGCAAGAGGTGAGGCGGAAAGCCTCTGATGCCCAGTGTATACATGTTGCAAATCAAAGTTGAAAAGCAAACGCATCTGTACAGAAAATCAGAAGACCTCATCGTTTGAGCTCACAGGACCTCGCAGGAAGGAGCCAGCAGCGGAAGCAGCCACCGAGACAGCAGCCACCGCCCACCGACAGCCGCAGTTGAAGAGGTCAAGGAACTGCACCAATCCGGTCAGCTTGTTGAAGCAGCACCAATTGAAAGGCGCCAGCTAGCGTCGAAGGCAACACCAAGCATGGACGCCAGGTGGAGTCCACAACAGCGGTTGCAGGCGCTCGCCGTCGTCATCGGCAGCACAAAGGAGAGACCCCAGGCGGAGTCCACAGCAGCGGTTGCAGAAGGGCATCAAAGAAGAAGCCAATACTGCAACATTGACCTTCAGCGGTAGCTGGGAAGGTCACTCCCTGGGCCTGGTGCCCAGTGTTTTGAGGTAGGCATGGTGGCGGTCAGCAATGTTGGCGACCATGTGGACAGCGTCCCACTCCCACTTTTCGGCCAGTGCAAGTTGTTGCCTCCAGGCCCGCCTGGCCGAGTTGGCCCAGCGTCTGGTCATGGAGTCATTTGCGGCCTTGTCCGCAGCAGCGTTGAGAGCTCGAAGGTAGGCAGGGTCGTGTCCACGTGTGGGCATCCAAGTCGCGCAACGCCCATGCGCAGGAGTCCAGATGAACTCAGCTCGAACCCCATATTGCAGAAGTCGTCGCCGATGATGACGAATCTCCAGCAGGAGGAGCAGATAGTCGAAGCCTCCGGTCCCTTCGATGGCGGCTATGGCCGATTGGCAGTCCACCGCCAAGAAGAGGCGCCGGCAGCGACGCAGATGTTGAAGTTGAGGATCTGTGCAAGCCGACGCAGCAGCCCTGAGAGCATACACGATGGCCTGAAGCTCCATCCTGAATGGAGTTTGGTCCTCAGCGTCATCGCCAGCAGCAAAGACATTCAAAGCATCCTGCACCGTCACCGCAAAGCTGCCCACATCTTCTCTGGAGGAGCCGTCGGTCGCCAAGAAGATTATGGGTGAAGCGATGTGCAGAGCAACGCAAGCTTGTAACTCCTCCTGAAAGTCACGAAGGTCGATGGCAACTGGTGCCGGCGGGTGTTGAGACACAGGCCTGGCCAGGAGCCGCTCGGCCGCTCGATCCGCCGGAGATTCAATGCCCACACGGCATTCGGCAAAGGACTCACAAGCCCAAGCAAGATGAGGTCGAGACGGGGCAAGGTCACCGCAGCAGCACCGGCGTCGGGCATGCTCAGGTCCGAAGTCCCCACCTGCATTGAAGTGCCAGTTGCTGGCCCCTGCACCAACAGAGGCAAGGGCGAGTGCACGGTTACCAATGGAAGCCTCAAATGCTGAACTCAAATTGCGCATGACGTGCAGGAGCAGGAAGGCGCAAGCCGATGGCAAATGCAGGCTGCTCACGCTGCACGGGGTGCCACACGCGCGCCGTCGTGCTGACGTACAGATTGCGATAGTGGTATGTAAGCCACCGTAGCACACATCTGAAGGACTCAAGCCCCACACCAATGGTTCGTACACGTCCCTGATCATCAGTACGATGAAGGGTCTTGCCGTCACCTGAGATCCACCAGCCCAGGCGTTGGAGCGTGGAGTTGAGCAGTGGCAGCAGCTTGCCAGGGCACGGGAAGGCTTGAGAAAGTGGAACTTCATCGAGCCAGGCAGGAGGCCTGATGACGATTCTCCACATGGCACGAAGTGTGGACGCATCCATGGCATATTGAGGCTCCAAGCACCACCCAACAACTTCAAAGAAAAGAACCCGGGCCGCACCATGCTGGGCATGCGCATGGAACAAGTGGTACACTTCATGCTTAATGGCCTGAACCTCTGCAGGATCGGGCTGAGCGTAGGGGGAGGCCCACGCAAAACACGGGGTGATCAAGGGGCGAACCAAGGCACGGGAATCCCTGGTTCGCACGCAAATGCCACGTAGCAGGCGAAGACGGAGGAGAACCTTGCGCAAAGAGAATTTGAGCAACTTCCAGGTGGAGCCAAACTCAATGACGATCCCCAAGGATTCTAAATGCTGTAAGTGTTGGTACCCTCGCTCACGGGCAAAGGCCTGGACCTCCAGATCATGAGAGGGTCCAACAACTGCGCACTTCTGCAGAGAGACGTTCAGTCCAAAAGCGGCATCGAACCGATCGGAGCGTGACAAAGCACCCCTGAGTGCCTCAAGAGGGGAGTTAGGGCAGAGCATAATGCAGCGATCATCCACATAGGCATACCCATCGACTTCTGAAGGAGTCTGGGTGACAGCGTGCAGAACCAAGGCCGCCCAGACGTGCGAGACGGCTGCAGCAACGGTAGGAGAAAGGGGACAGCCTTGAGGGAGGCCGCGCCCCGGGGATCTCCAGTCCGACCCCAACGCGCCTTGCAGTGCGAAAAGTCGAGAGCTGTGCCGACAAGTGCTTCGAATCAAATTGACGAGGGGCTCTGGTGCCCGCAGGTGCTGCAGGACGAGGACCACATGGGCAGGGTCCAGAGAATCGAAGAAACCAGCAACATCCTGTTGTACCGCTACTCTTGAACCCTTGTCAATGCAACTGAGCAATTGTTGCAGAGCCTTATCAGTAGAAGTGCCCACGATGCCGCCCGCATCATGGCGACTGCACCAACTATTGCACCAATCTGCCGGCAGCCAAGCTCAAGAACTCGCTGCCACAAGGCCGCCAAGCGATCCCACCAAGCGGCGGGGAGAAGGAGAAGGGCCTCAGCCGTTGAGTGGTCAGGACCGTGAGATTTGTGACGCATGGCTCGAAGGGCGGCTTGAAGCTGCGGCGCTGAAATCTGAAAGTTCACCTGGACCTCGGGCGGCCGGGGAACCTCGCGCAAGACCTCAACAACCGCAGCGGAGGTGTCAGCGTCGCACCTTCTCCACTTCTGAGTCCAGATAGCATCCTGGATATCGACCTGCACAGCCGGGCGCCGGCCAGAGGTCGGAGCCCGGAGGTCAGCCCTTGTGCGCTCCCACTCCAATTGCTGGTCAGCACGTCGCTTCACGTATGACCTGGCAACCCCAAGGTTGTCCTTGGCCCGGCGAAGCCATCTAACCTTGGCCGCCTTGACCTCCTGCTGAGTGTAGGTGGCAACAAGAGCATCGACAGGCTCGGCAATGGAAGCATCAATGACAGGGAAGTAGGGCAGCTCAGGGACAGCAGCCCTGACACGCGCAAGTGACCTACGAATGCTTTGCCAGAGCGGAACATCATGCGGGCGACTGACGCCGACCCGGATCCTGGCTTGAAGCTTGAGCAGCGCCCTGAGGCCCGGAGACCTCTCAGGTCCCTTACCCACGCATCTGGCCCTTTGAGCCTCGCGATCCTTGGGATGGCAGAGGCATCAGGAACGCAGACGAGGTCTTCAGCAACATTGGAGAGCAGCCTCCACGCCTCATCCAAGTCACCTGCAGCACATGTGCTCTCAAAAGGGGATGCATCCCATTGGGCAAACTCCACGTCCAGATTCTGAAGCATATCCGAAGGCTTGAGGCATCGACGCACAGGGCCAATACGGAGCAAAGGAGCTTCAGCATCAAGGGAGTATCCCACAACAAGGTGATCCGAGGGACCATTCAGATGGATAACATCCAAGGCCGGCCATTGAAAGTGCGAGAGGCCGAAATCGATACGACGCCTCCGGTGTCCCTTGTACACGGGCCCCGTAGGCGGGAGCTGTTCGCCAGGCTGACACTCATCACAGGCAATGACGGTACCATCCGCCAAGTAATCCAACAGCATGGGGTGGGCAGGAACCAAGTTGAAGTCACCGAGCAACAAAAACCTGAATCCTGAATGCATGGCCATCTGAAGGATGTCCTCAATTTGGTCCGCAGCCGTGGCCTCATCGCCCGCCTGACCATACACTGCCACGACAAGGAAAGTCTCAACGTTACCTTGTGCATTTTTGAGGTCCACCAAGACAGCAGCGTGTCTGGTGGCCCCCTCGGCACGCGAAAGGACAATGCTTTTTGCAGGGAAGGAGCTGAGCAAGGCAACACGGCATTTGCCATCCTCCGGTGCACTAAGGCTGGCATGCATGCCACGGGCCATCCAAGCATTGCAAAAACCAACACTGGAAAACTCCGGCACATCAGCCTCAGGCAGAGCAACGAAGTCTGCGGAATGTTGCTCAAGAAAAGGGCAGAGTTCGTCAAGGCAAGAGACGCCCCGACGATTCACATTGACAGTCAAAGCATGAATCAGGGGAACGGCAAAGTAGGACGGGCCAGAATCTGAGCCGCATGCTCAAATGCCGCAAGACCCTGCTGGCGGTAAGTGCCTTCAGCCTTGCTTGCCTCAAACTTGGCCCTAAGGGTGGCAACGAAACGGAGTCTACGCTTGACCAGACCCGGCAGTCGCTTTGGGCGAAGAGTGGTTGGGCACTTGCTTGGCACATGAGCTTCGGCAGCCTTGTCCTGCTTGAAGGGGGCATGACACTTGAGACAGACCCAGGCCTTCACAAACTTGACCACCACATTGCCATCAGTCTTGTCCGTTAGTCGCGGCCACCTGAAGGGCTCAAACCTGGCAAGGAGGTGTGGCTTGCACTGCAAATTGAAAGAAGTTCTTGCATTGTATTTAGTCAGGCGCATCTTGGCAACTCGCTGTTCGGATAGTACGCCACGCCACTTAGTCCAGGTGATCCGCGGGTGACTTGAGCATTTATGCTGGAGCTGATCCCGTCTGACTCGGGAGGCACTTGCCTTGGCCCCATCATCATACTTGATGCCCAACGGACAAAGGGGACATCGCCACCATGCGGGCCCATCCTGAAGGTCAGTCACAATAGACGGCAATTTGCAGTACTGGGGCTGGTGGCCAGAGGCCGATTGCCCTTTGTGATGAATCTTGAAATGGCCGCCAAGAAGGTGCTTGGCCTTTTCGGGATCGGTGCAGGGACGAGTCCATGGGCAGAGACGGCATCGGGTATACCCATCCTTACACCACTCAACAAGGCGTGGGCGTCCGCGAGCACGAGTGGCCTCGACAAATCCATCTCTCTTAGGCATCGCTCGCAGGTCAGCAGATGATGTGGCGGGCTCCCCCAGCAGATCAGAAAGGGGATCAGCCTCCTCATCAGCAAAACAGCTCGCCTTAGAGGCTGTCTTGCGGGGCACAGCGACCGACCTCACGGGCGGAGCAAAGGACTCTGGAGCAGCAGATGGGACGCGAACGCGCGATACAGTGGCACACGAAGATGCAGCAACCCTGGAAGGCGCGCCACCTGAGCCTCCTGTCGGCTTGAAACCTTGGCGGAATGCTTGCAGGAAGACTGAGAGGCACCAGAAATGCATGAGGGGACACGGACCCTCGAGGCCGTGGCACATGAAGAGGCAGGTGAGGTCCCGAAGCGAAAGCCACACACCGGCCCGGATGTAATTTTATGATAGTCCTCAGGGTACTTCTTGGCATCGTCCCCTTTGGGAAGGGCGAGGTCAATGTGAGACGCAGAGTACCAGAGGACAACGAGCTTCTTCTCCTTGACGTTCCATGCTGGCTGAAAGTCTAGGCCCTGAGGAACAACTACAACCTTGAAGTGTGTGATGTGGGCCAAAGCGGATATTTCAAGTTCTCCCAAATGCACCCCATCGCGCTCGATGAGCTTACAGTATTCCTCGAACGACGTGAGGGGATTGCCTGAGGGATCAAGCTTATCCCAAGTGCGGCTGTAGCGCTCATGTTTGAGCATGTGCGTGACCATCTCAGCCCGAAGTACCCGAGGATGCCGGTCCTCATCCTTGAAGTGTTTCAGGGCCTTGCTGAAAGCATGCAGCACACAGTTGCAGTCCTTGGCGCAATCGACCTTGCTGAGGTCGGCAGGGAAGGACCTCATTTCTTGCTTGGCCTGCTTGGTCTGGGACTGCTCTTTCCCATCTTCGCTCGGAGGGCTGGCAGTGGAGACAGGCACAGACTCAGTCTTCTTGGTGAAAGCCGGGACGGCCTCAGCAGCAACAACGGGCACAGAGTGGGTGTAGACGGACTTCTGAACAGTCTGTGGCTTACGTGCAGGTGCATAAGTGGCCCACAAGGTGATGTTGGCTCCCAGATGCTCCACAACAATTGGGACGACGTCCCGATCACCGTGGCCGGCCTTGATTTTAGCACGGAAGCGCAAAGAGACGTAGCCCTTCTGCCACCTATGGGAGATGACGACCGGGTCAACAAAGGCAACCTCGAGCATGCCTTTGACCGCTACGTGATCCCACTCCGCAGGCACTTCAGTGATTTGCCAGATGCGAGTTGGGGTCTCGTCTTTGGCCAGCGGACGGCGCCAGCCCAGGCGGGTACCGGACATAGCAATGCCATGAGCATCGGCCATCCGCATAGTCCGTTCTAAATAGGCCCCATGTTTTTCCTGTGGGGCCCGGTCGATCCACACCACCTCACACCTTGGCAGGCAGTGTTCAGGGGCACTCCGAGGCGCGGAAATGAAGATTCCCTGTTGACCTGACGCGGCAATGAGAGGTCCAGCATCTTGTGGAGCGACTCTGATATGTCCGAAAAACTGTTCCGAGTCTCCGTTTCTGCCTTTTTCTCGGAGCCAGGAAAAGGCGTCCAGTGCCTGGATGTGCCTAGTCGCCACCCATTGCATCGCCGCCTTGGCTGGCGCTTTCTCAAGTTGGCCCAGACGCTCTGCTCGCAAAATTGCTTCGGCACTCTCATATAGAGAACAATGTTCTCTGTGACACGGACCTTGACTGCAGAGGCATTGATGCCAACGGGCGCCGGTGCAGCACCACTGGTGCCAGCGGAGGCGCAATTGGTAACAACGGCTTGTCTGAACACCAACCGGTCACCGACTTTCCCTGGAATGCGTTGCGCATCCTCCCTGGTCGAGAGAAAGACAGTGAGCACCTGGTACGGCTTCGCAGTGCCGCGCAACATCGAGTGGATCGAGGCAATCTCACTCTCAGTGGCGAGGATAACCGCCTTGAGCGTGGCGCCCGTGGGGAGGTCATCGAGCTGCTTAGCAAAGTTGGAAAAGCTGCCCAAAGGACTAGACCAGTCCTGCGCACGCAGTTCAAAGGGGGCATTGGTCTCTTGCCCCTTCCTTTGCACCTTGGTCCAGCCGTCTCCGTCACCTCCTTGCCCTTTGCCTTTCGCATTGGTCTTGGGAGGCTTCGGTGGACCTTGAGCAGTCTCGGGCTGAGGCGCAGAGCTTCCACCCTTTGTACCCTTGACCTGGACACTTCGGTTTTTGCCCTGGGCACTTTGCTGCCTTGCTGGCTCGCAGGGGCAGCTTGCTCAGTCTGTGCATGGCCAGGCTTTTTGCGTTTGCGCCGTCCAGAAGGCTGCTCGTTCCCCTGCTCAGCGCTCCCATTTGATTGCGGCATGGGAACGTCCTGCGATGCCGCGGGCGGGGCCTGCTGGGGCATGGCTCTGGAGATGATCTCAGTCCAGTTGATGGACGCCAGTGCTTGCTGGAGGGATTGCTGGATCATAGCCTGAACCTGTGCCTTGGCCTGTTCATCCAAGCCTCCCCCACCCGCTCGGAACCACCAATGTTTTGCGTGGAAAGCAGAAAGAAAACGCGCAGGGTAACCCTGATGCAGGTCAGTAGGCACGACAAGGTCAATGTGTGAGCCATCATGCCATAGAACGACGGTGCGCGGTGCACCCTTGTTGAAGACCACCGTGCTTAGCTTGCTCAGCTGAGCAACCAACACGACTCTGAAGCCAGTGATGTAAGCGAGGGCCTGGACCTCCAAAGGGCCGAGCCAGGATCCCTGGCGGGCGGCATGTGCAAAATAGTCAGCAAGATCAACTGGCAGTTCCTGCAGGCAGCAGGCGCGGTTTGCAGGGACCTCACGGGTTCGAAGGCAGAAGTCAACCAGCCCTTGCGCCACCGGAAAGTCAAGCTCCCACCCGGAGTTGTCCCGAACCTGGCACTGCTGACAGTGGGTCGGTGGAAATCCAAGGAGTTGTCGCAACCGTTGCTCCAGGAAGGGCTTTTGCTGCCAGAGCGCATTTACGACATATTGCCTCAGATCTGCAGCGCTGCACTGTATTCCCTCAAACAAGCTGAGGGCATAGCAAAACGCATGTAGGACACAGTTTCCATCACCTGGTCCATGGATCGTTTGAAGCCCAGAAGGCACTGGACGCCTGTTCAGGTCAGGGCCATCATCAAAGTGACGGCAACGACACTGAGTTGGGTGAT